ATAAAATAGAATACAGTGTATAGTGATGCAATCATTTATCCAGTCAATCAATAAGTAAAACTATAGTCCCATTCAGTCTCAGTCACCACATCCACACATTTACTTATTTACAGTTCATATTGCTGCATTCATATGAGGCAAGGTATATAAAATTATGTAACTAAGAACAATAAAGTGAAATAACTCTACTCAGTTGTTTTCGACAAAGCAAAGGATGGCTAATTTGAGGATTTGGTTAAAAAAATAATTACTGTATTATTCAACTTTTTCCCCCCTTTACTACATAATTCCATATATCTTACTTCATATACCTGGTGTCTTCTATGTGTATATCAAATGCAGAAAGTAGTAAACAGAAAAAAGCATTGAGTGAGAGGATGAGTCCAAACTTTTGGCTGGTGGTGCATGTCTCAAATTAAAATTGTGAATTACAGATCTGCGTTAGGTCATGCACCTCACTGTTGTAAGTTAATCCTTCAAAGAACACCATTCATTCTGTGTTTTCCTTTTACATTTGAGCTCCTGTATGAAAAGGCAGTCTGTTCATTAGTGTAACCACCAGGAGAGAGGAAGTGTGGTTCAGCTGTTTGTGCTAAAATATCAGGAATGTGTTAAAAACAACATTAAGTCAAAAACAAAACAAAAATCTCTCCTCTTCACTCTGATCACCACAGCTGTGTCCACTCTGTGCAAACACAGACTGACTCTGAATGTTTGGAGAGATTTTGGTCTAATGTTAAAACTGACAAAAAGTAATATATATTTTTTAAATATAGTAAAAAGTCACCTAAAACAGGATAGCTGAATTCCGTCCTATATTCTGATATAATCAGTGATGGAAGCATAGATTGTATATATAAATGGCCCTAGCTAAAGCACTAGCCGCTGTATTCCATAGGAAGTTCTCATGCTGGTTCTTCAGGATTAAAGAGTAAAAAGTATTTCACTCAGATTCTGTGTTTTTGTTTTGTCACTTTTGAAAGAGTCTTCTCTTTACACGAGTTTCAAATGCCCAAATTCCCAGTCCTTCAGTTCACCTGGAGGGTTCCTGTTTTTGTCCGTGTCACACGTGGCCACCACATGTTCCTATAATTCAACCCAAAACTATTCCAGACTTTTTCTTAACTTACCTTCTCCTCTTACTCTCACTTAAAGGTGCACTGTGTAACTTGTCTGGTGGAGGGTTCTTCAGTTGCTTGTCTCCATGTAGATGTGGCTAAAATGTTCCACATTATGGCCATAAACTTATGTATGTCCATGGCAAGACAAGTTGTGGAGAGACAACCCCACTCACAGTAAAAATGTATGTTTTTGAAGTTAATTTTGAGCAATAAAATACACCTGGAGTTAAATAAATGTAAGAACAATTAGTTTAATGTGGGCAAATTCATGTGAGCAATTTCAACCAAAGCATTAACATTTCCATGGAGACAAACAGGTTGCAGACCAGCTCCAGAAAAGTTACACAATGCACCTTTAAGCCAAAATGAACCTGCACAGATCTCAAATGACCTACAATATCATACAGGGAGGTGGTACTATTACTGTTTTTACATATAAATCAGGAGAGGTCAAAAGGGGGATTTTCCACAGTTCCTGGATGTTAGCCAGACAGAGAGTCCCCCATGAATCCAAAGATGTCGCCAAAAGGAACAACAGTGGTTTTGTTGAAATGATGGGGCCAGTCGGTCATGTGCAGATGGTATCTTTGTATGAAGTGGATGTCTGTCTCATCACTGCAGCCTCTGTGCACAGCTCCCATTGACCTGGAAGACAAAATCAAATGTATGTTTTTCAATACAAATCCAGACTACACTGAATGGGGCTGTTTGCTTACTTAGTACAGTGAAGAAAAAAAAAATAAAAATGCAATCATCATTCAAAGGTGCACTGTGTAACTTTTTTGATCATGGTTGCTTCCATTGAGATATTATTGCTTTGGATTCACAGTATGGCATTAAATACTATATATCCGTCTTGAATTTATTTCATTAGGTGTGTTAAACTTAAAAAAACCTAGTGTGAGTGAGTTTGCCTCTTCACAGATCTGACCAGTAAATCGACCTGCTTTCTCCAAGGAGATTAATGCCTTACTATGGAACATTCCTGGCAATATTTTTTAAATATTTTTATCATTATTTTATCATTTATTATTTTTATTTATTTTATATTTTATTACTTATCTTTATTTTACATTTTTACTTGTACATTTACATTTATATAATTATGTTTTATTTGACACCAGTCTCTTGCTATCTTTTTTGCTACTTTCTTTGAATTTGTTATTACCATTTACATTTTTGCTCTTTGTTATTACATTTATTGTCTCTTGTGGATCAATAAAATTTGTCTAAGTCTAAATCTAAGCCTAATATTCAAGGAAACAAGCAGATGGGGGACCCTGGTGAAAAGTTGCGCAGTGCACCTTTAAGATAATAATGTGAAATCATATTGTATGTTGATAAATAAAGTTATATAATCGATTATAAAGGCAAACCGCAATGTTTATGAGTCATTATGAAAGAGTATCCATAGCTACAATGACTTAAATCACATGAACATGAACAAAAATTAAGGATGAATCAAGCCTAGTAACAACTTAATTAGGTAGTATTAATTATCTATTTGTTCTTTATGAATTAAGTCTTTCTTCATGTTTGATAAAGGCTAATAAAAGTTTTGTGTTCCCGTTATCTAGATGATAGACAGATAAATATATGATGGGTAGAGTGTTTCTAAGTGACTGTAAGGGCCACATTGCAAACAAAAATTATAGGATAGAGTGACACCCAGTGGACACTTTATGTATGTACAAAAATAAATAAATAAAGATTGAAGAAGTAATTGCCTTTGTTTTGTAGCATATATGTAAAATGGAAACATACCACAGGGCCCGTATTACACTATTTTCTGATCCATGTTGTTTTCATACAAACAGACCTGGAGCTGTGTTTTGTTTTATTCACAAACGTTGCATATTTAGACTGTGTCCTCTCTCAAACTAAAAGCTTGAAAACTATTCCACGTTGTGATGTCATATGGTGATACAGGAAGTGCTCCACTGTGTTTTTAAACTCCATACACCTTCACTAGAACCATTTGGATGATTTTAACCCTAGAATTGCCAATCTTTACTAAACAAGAAGTAAAAGATAGCTTGGAAACACCTCTCCATGGCAGCAAAACATTTAGAGTTTTGGTAGTGTAGACAGACTAATAATGCAGAACTATTCAAACATGTGTGAATGAAACAAAACACAGCTCCAGGTTTGTATTTGAGGATGTAACAACATTATAACATGACTTAAAGCTCCCAAGAATCAATTTTGTGTAATATAGCCCCTTTAAAGGTTAGTCCAGGTTTAGTCTGGCCTTGTATGTGGTTCTTTAAGTGCCATACAATGATGTGATGTGAAACGTATGAGAATAAACTTATACACTCACCATTTAGAATAGTTGGAATGAACTGCTGAATGCAATGCTGTCCAGTTGCTCAAGCTTTTACCGTCATTATCAACTGAAATCAAAGTGCACGGGTGGTCCTGGTGCCATAGAAACGAATATTCCTTACTGAAACATGATCGAAAAGATCTGGTGAGTTGTATGGATACCGATTTGCACAGAAAAGTTACAAATTCAGCTTTATTTATTGTGATATGTTATTTTTTACCCCCAAAGTATTGTTGTGCTACTGTCTAATGCTTTTTTAAAATTGTTTATTTAACACAAAACATGTCAATAATAATACTACTACTAATAAAATGTAATTTATTGAAATGACATTATGGTTGACACAAAATACAGTTTGATACAGCAGTTAACAGTCTCTTCTTTACAGTTTTAGTCACACATCAAAACACAGGGTACCACTTTACTTTACACCACAGTAATAGGATAGTAATAGTATTGTAAATAAACATGTAATTATGTGAAAATTCATCATAATAACTCATGGAAACTGCATCAGTCATTCTACTTTATTTCATGGTCCTAACCTCAACTCAGCATGGACCCTTAAAGGTGCACTGTGTAGCTTTTTGGAGAAACGTCCACGACCTGCTTGTCTCCATGGTGATGTTATTGTTTTGTCTGTTATGTTCAACAGTAAGGAATTAAACAAATATATACCTTTTTCCACCCCAATTTTTTTTATTACAGTTGTATCTATTGGTCAAAAATACCTTCACTTACTCTCCACAGATCTGACCTGTAATAAATTGCCCTGATCGCACCACTGCAAATTTCTCTGATCTGGACAAAATTTTAAAACTTATATCAGGTTATTCCTCTTGTTTTCAAATTTATTATCGACTTACTAGTTCCGAGTCGGCTTCTAGTCTCGAGGTGGTTTATTTTAAGATAATTTGTCAACTCAAATGATCTTGCTGCATGGACAGATGATTTCACTACTTTTAAGTCATTTTCTGATAGATTTAAATGTTTATATCTTAAATTTTAGCCAAGCTTTTTAGCAGTGCACTTGTCCCCATGGAGACATTATGTATTAATACTGAGAATTCTGGGCAAAGCAATGATAAACAAAGAGACAAACAGGTGGCGGACCTTCCACATGAAAAGTTACTCAGTGCACCTTTAAATAATCATTGAAATATGGTTATAATTATTTTAGATTACATGAAAAGAAGTTTACTAAGTACATTATCCCCATTGTTATTACTGTGCGGTACAATGAAGTGTGACCAAACATAGATATAAGACACAACTTTCTGTACAATGAGAGATAAGGGTCACTTCAGTTTTTTGGAGCAGAAATAGATCAGTAAGTTAAAGCTTAACAGTGCAAAAAGTTTTATCTTTCATTAAAATACAACCACAAATGTACCAAAAAAGGCAAGAGCAAAAAAATAACAATTTAAATAAGGCTTTTCCTTCTTGAACTTGTCATGAAATTTTAAGTATACTTCACAATTTCCTTCAAACAATGCAAATTTGAAAATACAACTGCAATAATAATGTGAAATGCAGATAAAACAGCCCCCAGCATGTAACAACTTTGAAATGTCAATACATGGTCATTTTTAGCTTATATAGCAGGGGTGTCAAACTCATTTTGGTCTGGGGGCCGTATCCGGCCTACTTTGATCCCAAAGGGGCCGGATCAGAAAACTTATGGCATATATACCCCCAAAATAGCAATAAGTTCAAATATTTGTGCAGAGAAACGCAAATCTATTGCAGAAATCTTTTTAACTGATGAACTCTTTCTTTTACAAAATAATATTATGAACAACCTGAAACTTTAAGAAAAATGCAATTTCAACACAATGTTTTAACATTGTATGCAAATAGGGAGAAGTAAATTTTTCTTGGAAAATCCTACACTCAGCGTCCACTTTTCTCATTTTTGACAATTTGCTGGTGAGGTCAAAATGATTGTCCTTTAAGAGCGTTTGGAAAGAGGCGAGTCTTCATTTGTGCTGCTCTGGTGGGAGGGGCCATGCACAGAGGCACTGGAGACACTGCTATGCTAAGCGGCACAGAAAATTACCAATATTTTAATAGAAAATATAATTAAAATATTTTAGTAGAAAATCAGCCGAGGGCCAGATTAAAGGTCTTGGAGGGCCAGATCCGGCCCCCGGGCCTTATGTTTGACAGCTGTGTTATATAGCATAATGAAGGCAACAAATGTTTACTCATTTGTCATAGCAACAGCTGTTTGATATGCTAATAATGTCATACAGTCTGGGAGTCTCCTGCCAAAAGCTTACCATCAATCAAGCAGAAAGCCCCGCCCATATTTCCAAATATGGATGCGTGGCTACGTCCCTGAGCTTATACAAACTAAACATCACTTTAAAACAACAATGTCATCTGAGGTAAACTTAACTTGTAAACATTTGTCTTTCTGAAATTCAAAATGGTGCAGTAACATTCAAGGTAATTTATTTATATGTTTCGTGAAGGCTGCTTTGAGATTTGGTTGTTGTGGACCTTCTCAAACTTTACCTGAGTCTATTGAAAATCATCACATAAGGTCAAGCTCTTGGTATGTTTCTTCTGTTTAAGTCAGTTCTACTAATGTGGGATGATGCTTTACAATGATGCACCAAGTACATAAATAAACGATGATGTAAACTAGCTCTCTTGAAGAGTTACAAGTTGCCTTTTCATTGTGTACATAGACCTGAATCTCCTAATTGTTCTTCTATTTCCTGGAAGCTATAACATTAATAATGTATTGCCAGATTCCCAGCATCCTAATTATTGACCAATTATTCACCGGAGCTTTTCACAGGGGCATTCACAGGGAGTTTTGCTGTCACGATAAAGCAACTAGCATGCTAACAGTGCACTTCCTTGTTCTTGGATGATAAAATGCTTTATATTAAGATGCAGGCAGTGATCTTATTTTGACCTTAAGAGCTGCTTTGAAATATAGATAAGTACTTAGTCTTAGGCTACGTTCAGACTGCAGGGTTAATGCCCAATTCAGATTTTTTTGTGAAATCCAATTTTTTTTCACGAGGTCGTTCACATTTCCAGTTAAATGCGACTTGTATGTGATCTCCAGTGTGAACTTTAAATGCCCTAAAAGTGTCCTGCATGCACATTGGAGGACATGATGACATCACACACAGAAAGAGTGCCCAGTGTTTACGGAAGTCGCCTAAACATGGACTTGAACATAGAGCACCTGGAGATTTTAAAGTTGCTGTTGTTCCAGAGCCAGAACATGTACAGCTTATTTGTTTTAAGGAGGAGATTGAGAAGGAGAAGATCTTGGGTTTTGGCCGTGGCACTTTGTGGGGCAGTGGCAGCAACATCCGTAGAAAGGAACGTGTGGGTACGGAGTTGCAGGCAAGAGTGATGAGATGATGAGATGTGCTTCTCTGCTTCACTCACACGGAGTTCGTGCACAATTTTCTGAGCGCCTACTTGTACCACTCTCACAGGAGAAAACACGTCTTAGGTGGGATGAATGCGACCTGGCCATTCAGACTGAAGTCGCATGTCAAAAGATGGGATATGTATCGGTTTTAGGAGCATATATCCAAGTGACCTGGGTCACATTTGAAAAAATTAGATGTATGTCATTCAGACTGTCATTAAAAGATCAGTTACAGGTCACAAAGGGCCAAAACAAATCAGATGTGGGTCACTTCAGGCTGCAGTCTGAACGTATCTTAAGTCTAAGAGCCTACTTCTACTTCAGACTAACTAACCCAAACCAAGTTCATAATTACAATTTAAATGGCCCGAATTATGCAATTTTTTAAATCTATGTTATAATGTTGTTTTCGCATCAAAAACATACCTGGAGTTGTGTTTTGTTTCATTCACACACGTTTAACACAAACCCTGCATATTGAGCTTTCTACTCTCTACAGAACTAAAGGTAAAAGATAGCTGATAACTTTAAACTACCACTACATGACATCACAAGGAGGAACGGAGCATTTTGAGCAATGATGATATAGGCAGATGAATGAATGAAACAAAGCACAGCACTTCATACATGTGGCGAACTCACATTGAGCTGATTACTTTCCTTAACCTGTTGGTCTGGGTTTTCTCTGAAGGTCCATTTACCCCTAAAGGACTGTCTGAAAGAGTTAACTCGAGTCCTAAAACCTTCACCAGAAAAGAAATACAACATCGGATCAAAACAGGAGTTGGATGCGGCCAGACACAGTGTTATCACAACATATTTCTGCATAGCTACCGTCTCCTCACAGGAAGCATCCGTCCGGGACAGGAAGTGCAAGTGGATGGTGCGCTGGATGTGGTACGGCATGAAGCAAAGTAAGAAAGTTAGCAAAACAATCACTATCATTCGAATCGCTCTAGTCGCTGATGCTGTTTGCTTACTTGGGACCATCGTACGAGACATTAACGTGCGGATAATGCCAACATAGCAAATAAGGATGACCAAAAATGGAATGAGGAAACCTATGGCAAGGGAGACGTAGTTGAGTCTGACCAGGGTCTTGATTCCTTTGATCTTTTTTGGAGGTTCAAAGCATTTTGTTTTGTTGGTTACTGGATCAATATGCTGCCCCGACAGCAGAAAAGGGCAGGACATCAAACATATTAAAACCCACACACCAAAACAGACAATTCGGGCGCGTTTTTCCGTTACCAAGTACATATTTTTTACCGGGAAGACTATAGCCAAGAATCTGGTCACGGACATCACAGCCATGAAGTAGATGCTGCAGTAGAGGTTGACGTAGAGAGAGTAGGAGCTGAATCGGCACAGGAAGTCCCCATAGTTCCACTGGCCCTTGTTGACATAGTAGAGGATGCGGAGTGGGAGGGTGCAGGCACACAAAATGTCCGACACAGCCAGGTTGAGCATGTAAATGTGAAAAGGCGTGCTGTGGCGGTTGGTGCGAATTAAAATGATCAGAGCGAGACCGTTGCTGAGCAAAGCGAAGACGGTGATGAGGGAGTAGACCGTGGAGTACACCTGGTTCCTGAAGTCATCGATGGAAGGGCACTCCGTGGAGTTGGGGAGAGATGTGGAGTTTAAATTATCCATTGGGCGCTGAAAAACAAGAAGAAAAAAATGTAATACATAAATATATGCAAATATATATGATTTTTTGCTTTTAAAAGTTCTATATTACAAAAAACTGACTCTTGAGCTTTAAGGTATGTTACAATCAAAAACATATGTGGAGTGGTGCTTTGTTTCATTCACACAGTTTGATAATAATAATAATAATGATGCATCAGTTTTATTTAGCACTTTTCTGGACGCTTTATGGAACATTATTCATTCACTCCATACCCAGTGGTGATAAACTACTACTGTAGCCACAGCTTCCCTGGAGCAGACTGACGAAAGCGAGGCTGCCAATTTGTGCCATCGGCCACTCCAACCACAATCCTCACTCACACACTCACCACTTTCATACTAAGCAGTGTGGGTGACGTGCCTTGCTAACGACAACATTTTTTTTTGCAACTGGCTCCCCACTGTGCACCTGATTTTTCCAGCAGTCTCCCAATCAAGTACTAACCAGGCCCGGCCCTGCTTAGCTTCTGAGATCTGACGGGATCAGGCTTTGACAAGCTGGTATGGCATAGTAAGAGTAACCCTTTATTATTAGTCTGTCTAAATCTGCAAAACTCAAAATGCTCTGATCCACCTTGTGATGTCATGAAGGAGTAGTTTTTAAATTAGCTACCTTTTACCTTTTGTTCAGTAGAGATGCTCAGTTTCAGGTCTGAAATTATCCAAATGATTCTACTGAGTTTCTAATTTGTGCCCCTCTGACCACCACCAATGTCCTATTTACACACCACTCATAGAAGTGCAAGGTGTATGCAGTGTCTTGCCCAAGGACACAATGACAAAGGTTTTGGAGGAATAATGCTTTAGCTACAAAATATCTGCAATCTTATTTAACTAGAGAGCCTATATTATTTTCTAATTTATTATATAATATTGTTCCCTCATCAAAATATATCTGGTTTTGTGTTTTGTTTCATTTACAGATGTTTATCACACAAATTTCTTCTCTCAAACAAAAAAACACCCTGTTCCACCTTGTGATGTCATGGTAATGTGATGTGGAAATACAATAAGCACTCCACTGTGTTTTTAAACCTTCACTAGAATTATTTGGATCATTTCAGTCTGGAATTGCCAAGCTCTACTGAACTCTACTGAGTTTTTAACTTGAAAATTACTGCTTCATGACATCACAAGGTGGGACAGAGCATTTTGAGCTTTGGAGATGTAGACAGACTAATAATAAAGGACTACTCAAACATATATGAATGAAACAAAACACAACTCCAGATATGTTTTTCATGAGGTAACAAGGTTATAACACACTTAAAGTTCATAAGAGTCCATTTTGTGTAATATAGGACCTTTGAAATATTGTCTATAGCACTGAAGTTTGTGCAGAGAAGGCAATTTCACATAGGCATAGTCACAAATCATGTTTCATTAAGATCAAATCAGAGTTTAACTACTTTTAAATGACTCAGGTGCTCAAATTACAAATACTGTGGTGCTCAATAGCCTACATTTACAACATTAACACACATGCACGCACAGACACACACATGCACAGTACACACACACTTGTTTTGTAAAAGGACCCACTTTCTAACCTCCACAAACTCTCTGGAGTTCTAAATTACCCACAGGGTCGATTTGAGCAAATATGAATTCAAAACAGACTCAGTGTGTCAGGCCTGATCATTTCCCTGATGATTATTTAATTTAGAGCATAACAAAGATATGAGTTTAAAATCTGTTGCTTTTGCCTCGGTACAGGACATGTCAATAAATAAAGGTCAAGGAGGTGACTGCAGTATAGAAGAATACAATTATCTATAGCTCGAGAGGCCATTTCCAATCCAATTAGACAAGGATTAGATTATAGGCACACTGGTGAGCTGTTTGAAAAGCCAGATTGTGACTTTTCTATGTTATCTGCTTGAATTATAATGCCCACAATGTATTCGTCTCTGTTGAGAAAAAACACATTTGTCATTTTATCTGAGAATCTGAAATGCGTGCAGTACAGCAAAGTGTTTCCTGTCCAATCTTGATATCAGTTACACAGTTTAAACACGTAAACTTGGGTGAATAAAACGAAGAAGAGAGTACAGAGAGGATGATGAAGATGCTATTGCTTTCCCTGGAATGTTCCATGATATTGCATTAAACAAATACACCTTGCAATTATCCATTATGAGTGCTCAAAAATACAGTAATTCCTTTTGTGAATAGGGGCGACTCTCCACAGGTCTGAACTGTAATCAGCTTGTCTCTCTCGTGATAGATGGGTTTAATCTCTCACCATGGGACATTCTAGACAAAGCAATAGCGTTTCCATGGAGACAGGAAAGTAGCAGACCCTCTCGCTTGTAATGTGGCGCAATGCAGCTTTAAACTAATTGAAAAGCTTCTTAACAACACCATACAAAAATCTTAACAACATCAAATAAAAGCCATGTATGTGTTTGAGTATACTAGTAATATAATATTTTCTTTCTTTTTTTTAAAATTTGTTTTAATTTAAACCCAAATAATTTTTGCTTTCATACTAATTACTTCCAAATGATTAGTTATTTGTAGTACTATAAGTAAACAGTATTAGTTCGTCTGTAAAATTGAGGATACTGTGAAAAAAACAACAACATATGCACCTGCTTGTTTCCATGATGATAAGACAGCAAGAATACAGGGTCATAAAGTCATAAAGTTGTTAAAAATGTATAAAATTAATGCCATATTGTGGTGCATCCCATCATATAAAATACACATTACACATTCAAATTTCTTGCTAAAATATGTCACAGTTGCACTCAAATTCTCAAACTCAAAATCGATTGCTTACTTGGTTTCACTTTAGTTATAGTCTCACAATAAAGAGCAGGTGCTTTCTCATCTTTCTTTATTATTTCCATGCCTCGACACTAAGTCACACAATATGAAAGCTGTTTGTGCGTGCATTATTAAAAATAGAATAAATGTAGCAAGAAAATTCAAGTCAAACCTTTCAAATACATATTATGACTCCAAAAGATGCATCTATACATACAATTATTCATCACTTAACAGCAACTGCCACTAAACACTGAGCAAAACTTTAGTAGTAGTAGATGTACACAAGATAAGAAGTACCACTAGATCTATATATGAGTAAAGTCTGTCTTACGTAAATCTTGGGTTAGTCCTGGTTCAGTCCTGGTTCACATCTGAAGTGTGTGCTGTAGCGGCTCTGCTCTGTGTGTCTCAGTGGGAGGAGGAGGAGGAGGAGGAAGAGGAGGAGTTCTAGAGCAGGTGATAAAACTCACTGGAAATCTCTCAAAAGTTTGTCTTCCTTTCAAATCTATAACAATTTTTGTGAAAGTTTCCATGAAACAAAGTTTATGAAAGAAATAGTTGCAGTACTTAAAGTTTGCAGTGAAGTTCAGCATTTTATAACACATTTATAACTTGTCATGCAACGTTACCACAGCCACAACTGCACAGCAATGTTTCATAACACCAGAGATAAGGTCAGTTATCAGCACGTGGTTTCGTCCCATAAGCGTGCTATAGCAACGCTGACTATTCAAATGTTGAGAATATTTTAAAGGAGCATTGTGTAACTTTTCTAGTGGAGGGTCCATCAAATGCTTTTCTTCATACAGGTGTGACTGCTTTGTCTGGGATGTTTCACAATATTTCTATCTACATGGAGATCAAAGGAAACCAAGTGACAGGTCAGATCTGTGGAGAGGCGACCACGCTCACAGTCAGAATGCCTTTATTCTAGATATTTTTTTAACTTTAAAAAACCACATGTAAAGTAAAGTAGAGCTGTTTAATGTCATACTGTGGAACATTCCAGGCAAAGCAATGACATGTCCATAGAAAAAAGCAGTTGGCAGACTCCCAACCAAAAAGTTATGTAGGGCTAATATTATATTCTACAAAATGAAAAGGCATCCCAGAATTTTTATATAATGAAGCAAATATAACATTTTATTTCCAAAATTTGAGAGAGATTTCTTTAAATAAAATGTGCCTTAAAAACTTAATTCCATTTCCTGTGTATCGTGTCCATAGCAGGTGGCAGAGCCCTAAACAAAAAGCTACATAGTGCACCTTTGAAATCTTTTTTGGACCCCGCATTTAGTAAAGTAAAAGAAACTCATAGAAAAGAATAAATAACCTACAGTGTATATAAAATATTGTTCAAATATTATTTAAAAAAGGGATATGGTGAGATGTGATGTCAGTAGGTCCAGCTGTCATTACCAAAGTGAAAAAAAAAAACATCAAATATTTCTTGAATAGGGCTGTAAAAACAATAACGATCAAGTAAAATGTTGTATATATAATTTTAAACACATAAAGGCTACATTATGTTTATTTAAAACTCTTTAGGAACCTGCTGATTTGTAGTTAAATAAACAAATGGAAGGCGGTGTCTTGTCAAATTTCCAAATAGTCGATTCATGTAATGCAAATGAGATTCATGACACTGACAATATAATTATTGTCATTCATTATATAGTCATTTTATTTTATGTGCTCTCCTCTTTATCTCGTCCAACAAGTTCCGTGTGCAGTTATAAATATGCTATATCCACAACTCTGAGATCAAACAGAGACTGAAGCACAGCTAATATTTGACCAGCGTCGTGATGCCGAAGTATTTGTTGGTATTAGCAGCTGTTATGTTTATGATCATGTGGGAAGAAGATATGCAAGAGTAAGTCAAAGTGTAATGAAATAAGAGTTTAACTGCTCATTTTAAACAGCTTGCAGTGCTCCAGTGTTATTCGTCACTTATCATGTCCATTCTGAGCGTCTTAATTATTCACAGTGATGAGTTTGTGAGTTTTCACAAAGCTCAGAGATCAGAGTGAGTTCGCTGTCAAAGAAATGTTAACAACAACTAGCATGCTAAACAGATATTTCCTGATTCTCTGATAGTACGTTTTAGAATTAGATGTAAACAGTACACAGCAGACTTATTTTGACATCAAGAGCTACTTTTACAATATATCTGTGACAAATTTTGCTCA